TAGTTATTTTCCCGAAAATCCCGCTCCCTTACAATGAAGTACTTTAAAGTACATGAAGTACGTTAAAGTACATTAAAGTACGAAAGTACAAAAGTACGATGTTTCCCCCTTGGGTGTGGGTGTGGGTGTGGGCGTGTATCGATATTATCTCAACCCGCGCATACACCCACACCCTCACCCCACACCCAAGATATCATGTTCTGTCAGGCATATAAAAAATTGAATTCTGATGCGTCTCATACTATCGAGATTCAGTAACACGTATTTGTGCTGATATATGTAGTACATGATTACCATTATTTATTCTTGGTCCGAATGGACGAACAAATAATAGTTCGAATCGTGATCGATGGATTCCGAATGTTTTTCCGCCGAATCGATCCATACCAATTGATATCAAAAATCAATATCGTTTTGTTAGACCACTCATGGGCATGGCAATACGTACGAAACAATACTTAGATGTTTGATTTCCAATTTTACTATGGAAACAACTGATATACGTCGAAGTAACCATTGAAGATATAGAAGCTATTGACATTTCAAGCTTGCAATTATCAATAAAATGGAAGAAAATATTCGAAAAGTAAAATATCTCAATGTTTGTAACGATGGTGATGTGAATAACAATGGCGACTATTTATTTAGTAGTATTATGACTGAACTTGCATTTGATGTTGTCAGTTCGACAGGACAAACATATGAACTTATCCGAGGTGGTTTTCATATACCGATAAATACTGCCAATTTCGAAGATTATTGTATGCATTATCGTCAATATCGTATTAATGAATTTCATTGACAAATTGAATCTATTCGTCAAGGTTTATATAGTGTCTTACCATGGGCTTATATGATTTTATTTACAGTTCATGAATTAGAAAAAGCTGTTTCTGGTAGCGGTTATATCGATATTGAAATGCTAAAACGTCATACACGTTATAACAACGATAATGCATCTTCACCACGTATGCAGCGATTTTGGTCAGAGTGTTGGTGTGTGTGTGCGGGGGCGGGGGGGGGGGGGGGGGAATCATCACTTAATTCACATCTACACAATACACCCACACCCTCAAATAGCATAGAGAGATAAAGCTTTTTTCCTCTATCAGACTATATAGAAAGAAAGTTACTTTAAGCTTATTATAAGGTTTTAAAGTATCATTGCACGTACTTTTGATATGCCCTAAGTAGTGTAGCAGGATAAAATTATTTTTCTGTAAATCACATAAGTATGTAAATCTAAGATCACTTTCAATGAGCCTTACTCTCAATTCGCTTGTTGGCCCCAAAGAAGCAAAAAGAAGGGGCCATATGATAACTTGCTTGTTGCTAAGGTCGGTCTCTTTTCTTTCATCTATCTTTTTCTTTTTCAATCGTTTTGTTGAAAATTTCAATGAAACAATTGAAAAAGAAAAAGATAGATGAAAGAAAAGAGACCGACCTTAGCAACAAGCAAGTTATCATATGGCCCCTTCTTTTTGCTTGTTGGGGGGCCAAAAGTGAATTGAGAATAAGGCTCATTGTAAACATATTCCTTGATTTTCCTATGTTGTTCTTATATACATGAGCTAAATCAGCGAAAATGTGATATTCATCTATTGTATTTGAATGCAATTCTCTATAAGTATAAGGTTTTTGAGTGAATTGTTTTTGCATAGGCTTATGTAAAATTGTTCGCCATTTTAATCCTGTTATTAATTAATTAATTAAGAAGTAATTAGCGAATATTTTCATAATCGAATAAGGAAAAAACTTGAAAACTTCAGGATAGTCTCTAGGCTATGATCCGCATATATGGTAAAATTTTCAGCGAGATCAGATTTCAAAAAGTTTTCTTCCAAAATCGACCTTTCGAAACTTTTAGACAGCTGAAACGAAAACCTTTGTCTCAGTATTATTCCAGGATCTTTTATCCTTAACACGAACTCTTGCAATAGATTTCGACCTTTTCAGTTCGTTAGCAGAGCATTTGATCCGTAGTGAGGTCTTACTCAGTGACGTCGCTAACGCCAAATAAATTTTGTTCTTTGAAAAACCTAGATATGGTCAAAATAATTTTATATCAGGATTCGGTAGCCTTAAGAGTCGTGCCTGGTATCGTTTATCAAGTTTTCGGTAATTATGCAACAATTGAGAATTTTTTAAAACCAAAGTATATCAAGTAACCATTAATGTCCTTTCGGGGTGTCACGTCGCTAATGATGTTTTTTCTTTAATAACTCCTTTGTACGAAGCGCTAGAATGTTGTTTTTTTTTATTATGTCTAGATTAAATGAAGACTCTTAAAACATGTAAAAATCACACCTAAACTAGCTGATAATTTCAAGATATGCATACGGGAAATTTG